AGCATGTGATTGCTTAATTCTTGTAACATTAAAATAGCTCATACAAATAAATCCATGCCACCCTGACAGGTGGTCAGGATATGCAAATGTACTTCTGCTCCTTCTTCTGTAACTATGAGGTCACCTGGAGAGTGGCTGCCTTCAGGATACCCATTGGAGAGCAGCTGCACTGCCTAAACAACAGAATGCTAATGATTGATGTCTCAGAGTATTAAAGTAATTGACTGTTTGAGTTGTCCTTTGTATCATATTAATAATGTCTTTTGTTACACTCTCCCCCTGTTTACATTGGGTATATAAGCTATAGAAGAATAAATGCAGGCGATTTCAGTATTTACTGGAATGCCCTCCTGGTACTTTCTATGGTTTCTGTTCTTATTATTTTTCATGTGTCTCTGTATTCTTTACTAATATTTCAAAAACTCCACACCCTTACCCTGGCAAGATGTATTTTTGTTGAAGATGGTCCATGACAAAAAACTACCTGGTGCCCTTTATGGGTGAGATTATGCTGGGAAGGGATGGCTTTGTCTTGGCTGTGACTGAACAACTGGGACCTAGAAACTCATCTTTATCCTCTCAATTTGATCTGGGCTTCAGGCTCAGGTACTGTTTTTCTGGACCACAGGAGTCCTGAGCACAGATATGGGACCACTCATGGTCTTGTTGAATCTCAGATCCATGGCTTGATTGTGATTATAGCATCAGACACTGGTGACATTTCCTCCTTTAGTGTCTGTATCCTTTTGTCTTCAGCCCCATAGATACTGAGTGATGCCAGATATGTGCTGATTCTCAAGGAGACCATCTCAAAGGAACTGAGAAGAATCCAAAACAAAGACCCCATGAACCAGTCAGGGTCTTTGATCAAAAATCACCAAGAACCTAATGTCTATTAAAAATTTTTTCATGTCTTTCTGCATTGTAAGTTTTTTTTCCCCAAAATACAGGTTTTTGAAGCTCTCTATTGAGTAATTCATGACAGCATTCTAAACGAGGAAACATTACCACACAATGTGCCTATTAAGAACAGAGCACTTGTCCTGGCCATCTGCCATCTCTCGCAGGTCCTTCTCACATCTTCACCTCTGTCTTTGCTACTGATAATAAGTTTTTCTTATTATTTTCATTCATGTTTTTCTCTTATATTGTTTTATTAATGATGCTCTGACAGTCATTTCCAAAAGAGTGATTCTGAGACAACATGTGATAGGTGTACAGGTGTTTGCCACGAGGTGATCTGTTATGCTGGGTGTCCATCACAGTCCATGAAGACAGGCCAGTTACCAGCATGGTGTGATTCCTGATGTGGTATCGCTTGGAACGAACGTGGGAAGCAGATTCATTGGTTTTCTACATAAAGATGACCTGAATTCAGTTAGCAGGTCTCTGTCATAAACTGACAAGAAACAGCAAATAATTCCTTTAAGGATGATAGGTTTCCCTCTCAGGTTTAAAAACTGGACAGGCCAGGCGATGGTGGCACACACCTTTAATCCCAGCACTCGGGAGGCAGAGGCAGGCGGATCTCTGTGAGTTCGAGACCAGCCTGGTCTACAGAGCTAGTTCCAGGACAGGCTCCAAAGCCACAGAGAAACCCTGTCTCGAAAAACCAAAATAAATAAATAAATAAATAATAAAATAAAAACTGGACAGGAGAGAGATTTGCTGCAGGTAGAGAGTGCTAATACAATTGTGGTTAATTAAGTAAACAGAAAGGGGTATGTGAGATTCATGAGCCAAAACCACCAGGAAACCACAAAGGTATTCTCTATAATCCTGTGTTTGTTTCCTATAATTCTAGAACAGTGTATTAATGAGGAATTATATCTCAATGGCAAAATAATATGCATGGACTCACAGGCTACCTTGCCAAAAAAATGTTAAGAGACATTTGGCTTCTACTTAGCTTTTCATTACAACTGACTTCTACTTAGCTTTTCATTGGCTTATATTTTGGAGATGATTCTCTGAGGAAGGGGTGTGGCCCTGGTGACTAGACGCCTCTGGTGCCCAGGTAGGGAGACTGAGAACTCAGAGTCATTTGCTTCAGAGCCCATTTCTTTTCCGCAGCACAGAGATTCAGCAGTCCCTCTGCTCTGCTGACTCGAGGTCATGAAGCTCAGTTTACTATGCGGTGCTGCATTCTGCTTCCTGCAGGCAGGTGAGTTCTGTGCACATCTCGGTGTGCATTTTAAGGAATGGAGACAAAACCCTCTGTCATTGTGAGAGCAGTCACTTCTCTTTGTCCACAGGTCCAGTGAGTGCTGGCATTACTCAGACGCCCAAATCGATGCTCATGAAGACAGGGCAGGATGTGACAATGAAATGCACTCAGGATATGAAACATGACTCCATGTTCTGGTACCGACAGGATCCAGGGCTGGGGCTGAGGCTAATCTACTACTCCTATGATGCTGGCATCACTGACAAAGGAGACATCCCTGAGGGGTACAACGTTTCCAGATCAAACACAAGTGATTTCTTCCTTATTCTGAAGTCAGCGTCCCCCTCCCAGACATCTGTGTACTTCTGTGCCAGCAGTAATACCACAGAGCTGTGTGCCTGCCTCCTCTCTGCACATAAAGATACATGCAAAGAAGAGGCACACACCCCTGGAATTCAGTGACATGTTGGAATTCTCAGTGCTGGAAACTTGGAGCTCTGAGTGTTTGGGCAGAGCAAACCTGTGCCAAGCAAACCTTAGTCTATGTTAAGGGGCATCTTCTGGCCAGTTTAGGCAATTTTGGACCAGACCTTGGACTTAAGGCTCTCTTGCTATTTTTCCTATGGTGATTCTTTAATTCTGATTTTGTCTTGAGTCTAAGTATTCCTGGATGGAAAGTGGTTTGTAATTTGGAGATACATAAACTCCTTGTTTTCCTTGACACAACATAATACATTCTCCTTCTGAGATTCAGCTCAGGTCATAGGAAAGGGATCCTTTTGGTCTGTAAACATGCCTTCATCTATGTACCACCTCACTGCTTGACTACAGTGACCTTCCTAGTACAACTATACAATGGTGGCTATTTTATTTTTTCTAAATTTCACACAAATATTTATTCACCAAGTATAATCTGAAAATGACTACAGCCTAGGTAAGTTGATTTAACACCATTTAGCACAAGATGGATTCTCCTGGACTGAGACATTACATCTGTCTCAACCCTGCTTTGGTTTCTAGGCTCCTCTTTTTTTTTTTTTTTTTGGTTTTGTAGAATGGCTATAGCGTTTTCTTTTCTTTTTTAATTTATTTATTTCTTTATTAATTAATTAATTAAAGATTTCTGTCTCTTCCCCACCGCCGCCTCCCCTTTCCCTCCCTCTCTTCCAACCAAGTCCCCCTCCCTCGTCTTCCCATAGGCTCCTCTTTTGAATGAACCTCTTTTCAAGTGAACTGTGCCTATTACTAAGATGTTTCTGTTCTAGGTATTGCTTTCATGACTGTGGCATAAGTCCTCTTTCTACCCACTCATAGCTTTATCTCTTGCTTCTGTCTTTTTCTCGAGCTCCCATAATGCTGGAATCTCACAACACAAGATCGACTCAAGATTAATGTGACTGATTAATCCATTCAAAGAAGAACAGATGAATTCAAAATAAGAATATTCACTCCATGACAATGAAGTTGGCATTAGGTAGTAAACAGAGTAGTTTTGTTCTGTTGTCTTAGTCTGACCAAGGTAGCATTCGTCTTTGATGTTATACCTTGGTATCTGAATGCTTTTTATACTTCCCCAGTATCCAGCCTGAAGTTCAGAATATATAAGAATTAATGAATTTGAAGAGAAACATTTACTTACTAAACAAGACTGGATGCATTTGTGTGTGCAATCCAGTTTGTCATTCAGTATAGGAATTTCTTATCAACATATGGCCCGTTCTTTAATGCAAAAGTATGTTAAGCCTAGAAATATAGTTCAAGCATCTAGGTTATTTCTGAAACTTTAGAAGAATGAAGAGAGCAGGTATTAAAGATATATAGCTACCATAACATAGTAACTCTTAGAAAGGAGAACATTTAATTGGGGTGGCTTACAGTTTTAGAGGTTTAGTCTATTATCATCATGGTGGGACTTCGTGTCATGTAGGCAGATATGGTGCTGGTGCTGGTGAAAAAGGTGCTGAGAGTTTTACATCTTGATCCACAGGAATCAGGAAATGAACTGCGACACAGTATAACTTGAGCATAGGAGATACAAAGTTTACCCCTACAGTGACACACTTCCTTCAACAAGGTGACACCTACTCCAACAAGGTCACTCCTTCTAATAGTGCCACTCTTATGTGGCATTCCCCTCTGTATGCTCAGAATATGTTTATTACCATTAGTTAATAAGGAAACTGTTTCAGTCAATGGCTTAGCAAAGTAAAGCCAGGCAGAAAATCTGAACAGAGATAGAGAAAGTAGGCGGAGTCAGAGAGACTCCATGTATCTGCCGAAGAAGAAAGATCCAGAACCTTTCCAGTAAGTCATAACCTCGTGGAAATACATATATTAATATAAGTGGGTTAATTCAAGATGTAATAGCTAGTTAGCTAGAAATTTGCCCAAGTCATTGGCCAAACAGTGTTGTAATTAATATTCAAGTCTGGGTGATCAAGAAATGAATGAGCAGTCTCTGCCTACACCACTCCATTTGGGAACCATTTTCTTTCAAACCGCCACATTTCTATATGCATATATATTTGTTTAAATACAAAATAGAATTCAAACCTATAGATACCTGTCTTCTTTCATTTTCAAAGGATATGACAGTTCAGGTACATTGAGGATGAAAATAAAGACCCATTCATTGATTTTTTTGTTTTAGAAGAAATGTATGTTTAGTCAGTCACCCATGTACTTACTGAAAATGAAATTTGTGTGTTCTTGATACCAGAAGTGAAGTCACCATGAGAACTGTCACGTGGAGAGGAGGGTCACCACGATCTTCCTCTGCTCCTACTCACTAGCACCCAGATTCACTGAGCCTCCACCCTGTACTGACTCTGCCATGGGCATTAGGGTCTTCTGTTGGGTCATCTTTTATCTCCTGGGGATAGGTGAGTCATTAGATCATCAACCACTTTCACTCTGTGTGTGTGTGTGTGTGTGTGTGTGTGTGTGTTTAATAAACTCTTACCACAACCATTTTCTTTATTCTGTTCACAGACCTCACTAACGCTGGAGTTTCCCAGTCTCCCTTGTACAGAATTATAAAGAGGGGACAAGATACAGCCCTTGAGTGTGATCCAGTTTCTGGCCACAGAGGTCTTTACTGGTACCGACAGAACCTGGGGCAAGGTCCAGTGTTCATGGTGTCTTTCCTGTATGAGCTTTTATCAGACAAATCTGGGATGTCTAATGATCGGTTCTCTGCAGTGAGGCCTGAGGGCTCCATCTCCACTCTGAAGATCCAGTCTACAGATGAAGAGGACTCAGGCATATACCTCTGTGCCAGCAGCTTAACCACAGCATGGCACAGGTGTTTCCTTCCTGCTCACAAACCCCTGGCTTCATTCTTCTCACAGTGCGTAGAGTTCTTAGGCAGATTCAAGCTTCACTTGCCCTTTAAACAAAGCCATTACCAGGAAATTCACTAAACACTGGTTGCTAATATGGCTGAGAAAAATAGTTGAGACCTGCTCCATTCTAGAAGTCTCCAGAGGCAGCTGAGTGATACAGTACAATGACTGGATATCTTCGCACTGGCTTATAGACCACTGCAGCCAGTCATCCCCAGAATCTTGAGGTTGCTACTCATATACAAGCTTGTGTCACGTATAATGTCCATGACTCCTCTCCTGAAGTTGGTTGACTACTGTGGTATCTGAAATTCCTGCAGCCGTGTCTTTCCCCAGTTGCATCTTCTACTTTAGCCACATTAGACACCTTAGGCTATATAGGATGAAATTTGTCTTATTTTTAATTAAAAATCTTTGCTATGTTTAATGGCAGTTACTTGGCAAACACACACACACACACACACACACACACACACACACACACACACAGGAATAAGACTTCACTTTGTCTGAATATTTTTCAGAATATGTGAAGATGTGTCTCTGTGTTTCCTTAGTGCCTAAGGCACCTTCTGATTGGTTTAATAAAGAGCTGGACAGCCAGTAGCTAGGCAAGAGAGGATAGGTGGGACTTCTGGGCAGAGAGAGGAACTCTGGGAAGAATCTGAGGCATGGAGATTTGCCAGTGAGATGTGGAGAACATCAGACATGCAGTATGGAGGAGCTAAGGAGCCATGGGACTGAACATAGATAAATATAAATGGGTTGATTTAAATTTTAAGAGGTAGTTGGGGGCCAGTCTAAGCTAAGGACAAGCTTTTATACTGAAAAGAAGTCTCCGCATCATTATTTGCACACTGGCAGTCCAGTGATAGTCCGACTCCATCATGTTGTAAGCAATTTGGGTTTTTTTTTTCCCACTTTATTTCCATCTCCCACTACTCTTGCCACGACAGTTCCACTACAGCACGTTTTCTCTCACATTTCAGTGCGCTCTTAATACACAAAAGCAATAGCTGGAAATTGAATTTTTTGATTCCTGCCTAAGACTTTCAACTTGAAATAATTTTTTTGAGGTTTCTAACTCCAGAAGGTGGAATTAGAAATTGGTGTCCTTATTTCTTTTGGTTTAGTTATTATATGGCGCTATCTATTATTTGTTAAAAATGCAACTATACTGTAATACAATTGTCTGCCCATCTGTAATTGAAACCAGTTTGTGTCTATGAGACCTAAATGTGTAATGAGAATTGATAATACACCCTGGGTTTCTGCTACTCCTCAGAAACAGTCCAGCGCTCTAAGATTGGAACTACCTATTACAGAGCCAGTCACCATAGGGTGCTCTTGCAAGCTGGTTAGAGAAAGTCCAGTCCCCCTAAAATTTGTTTATCAGAAATTAGGGTGACTCTGTATGCCAAATGTCTTTCCTTAAGAATAATGACTTTGGCAAGGAATTGTCATGTCTTACTTTAAAGGTGGCACCCTCAAATATTCCATATTTTGTTTTTCCCGTCTCCTGGGAGCAAATAAAGCTACAATTTGGATGGCAATTGCCTGTCCTCGGGGTGATTCAAATAATTCCCCTCTTAACTTTGTTTTGACTTTGCCTACTGAGTCCGGGTAGCAGGTTAATCTCTAATTTATGTTCTGGTTTATACAGAGCACATACATTGGCTGGAAATACTGGTCCATCATAAAGTATTTCTACTGCAGACCTTGTAGGACATGGGCTCTGAAGATTCTTTTCACATATTTTATAGAGTTTGCTGTTTTATATTTCATTCCATATTCTCACTGATTGGGAGAAGAATTTCTCGGGTTCGTATTGCTTACAGCATTGGGGAAGGTTTTTGCACTTTAATTATACCCAGACATCATTTCAACTCTTCAGTTTGGTAAGATTTATGACAGCAAAATAATCAACAGTGAGCACCAGGCTATGTAGATGCTGTCCATGTCTCATGATGAAGGCCCCTTTGAAGGTTTATTGTTAGCAACAAACTTTTAGTTTAGTTGAAATGAAAGGACAAATAATTGAATATGTGACTAGGAAAAAGGTCTTATATGGGATTGAAAAAGAGGGAGACTTCCATTTGATGCAGTCAGTATTCAAAAAAACAAAAAGGAGCCAGGAGCTGGTACCTAAGAAGTCCAACCGCTCGGAGCAATTCTAGCTTGGTGGAGGAAGGCAGACAGGAGCACATTCTGGATACAGAAATGACTCCTGGGGGCTGGCGCACAGACAGCAAACAGTCAGAATTCAGCAAGCTCTTCTCACTGCCACTGTAGTACTAATGCAACCTTGTTTCCTGCCGTTCTGCTATCTCTTCTTCCTGCCCCTCAAATCAATAGGTGTCCATTGTATGTTACCCACAAACCCTCAGATAATCATGCCGAGCCTCGATTCCACACCACCACTTCACCCAATGTCAGTTGACATATAAGGTATCCTATATTTTTTCTTATATTCCCATTTCTATTTTTCATTTATTTATTTATTTTTCTATTTATTTATTTATTAGTTTATTTATTTATTTGTTTGTTTGTTCATTCATTCACCCATCAATTTATTTACTTATTTGATTGTTTGTTATTTTTTCAAGACAGTTTATTATTTTTTCCATATATAACAGTCCTGGTTGTTCTGGAACTCACTTTGTAAACCAGGCTGGCCTTGAACTCACAGAGATCTGCCGGCCTTTGTCTCCCAAGTGCTGGGATTAAAGGTGTGCTCCACTGTTCCCTGATCCTATTTTATTTTTTATTCACACATTTGACCTCATCTTGAAGATGATCTCACTTGTTGATTATCAGATTTGTGTGTGTGTGTGTGTGTGTGTATGTTGGTTGGGAAATTTTGTTTCTCTTTAATAAGAAACTTACTCTTATGCATCAAATTCTATGCCTTTATTCGTAATATTTGTGCTAAGCAGCAGTTTTCATGTCTATCCATCTTGTGAAATGCAATTTTAAGGAAATTGTAATACTTGTGGACCCAATAGTAGAATGAAGGTGGGATAGATGATAAACATGAACATTCCAAGAATTCATCAGAACCAGAATTAGAGTTCAGATTAAGGTTTTAAAAAAACTGATGATAAAAAAATGTTTTATTTGTTGTCCTGTTGGGTGACTGCTGGGAAAAATTTTTGTATTGGCCACAAGATGGCACTGAGCTCCACAGATCTCTAGGGAGACTCAGGGCAAGCAGCCAAGAATGAAAGCTAAGATATTTTCGGTTTCTAGCTTGCATACAGCTATCCAAGTGGTGGGTGGGTGTATCTAAACTTTAAAGGGACTCACAGTTGGAGGTTTTGGGCAGGGAAGCCTTGATACCAGGACAGGTGTTGACAACGGCCAAACTCCTCAGCGGAGAAAGGAAACCCGCGGGATCGTGGTTTACCTCCATTTCCTGGTATCGCTGCCAAACTCACTTTTCCTGCTGGCTTTGCTGAGCAAGAGAGCCCTGTTGCAGTGGTGGCAAGAGGGAGGTGACCTTGAAGGCCCAGCCATCACTCCTAAGCAGAGGAGGCTCAGAAATCTTGTTCTCAGTCCTAAGACCACAGCATTCAACTGGAGTAATCCCTTCTCACTGTAACCTGTCATGATCCCCACATTGTTTTGTGTGACGCTTTGCCTGCTAAGAGCTGGTGAGTTCTGTGTTTTGTTGGAGAAGTCTATCATCGCTTGCAGTGTTCTGACTTCAAGTCTTTCCTTTCCCCACACCGCACATGTTATTTCTTATTTTGTCTTATGCTTCCTTCTCCAAACAGACCTAACAGATGCTGGAATCACTCAGACACCTAGATACTGGATCGCACAGACAGGAAGAAAGATGACCCTGGAATGTTCTCAGAATATAAACCACAATTGGATGTTCTGGTATCGACAAAGTGCAGGAGAGGGATTGAAGCTGATCTATTACTCCGGAAGTGTTGGCAGCACTACCAAAGGAGATATCCCCGAAGGATACAGTGTCTCCAGAAACAAGACCGAGAATTTTCCCCTGACAATAGGCTCAGCCAGGCCCAGCCAGACCTCCATGTACTTCTGTGCCAGTAGCGAACACAGCATTGCACTTCCACCTGCTGCCAGCACAAGAAGGACAACCACAAAGTTAAGATGGGCCCTTCTTCCTCAACCCCTACCCCAATCAAAGGAAGCCTATCTTCCTGAACCTTCTCCCAGCAATGGAATTTCAGCCAGAATGGCTTTGTACTGCATGAATCTTAGCGAGAGCTGAGGACCATTTTGTGTATAAATGCAAATGATATTGGATATTATCTTTTCTAATGAGGAGTCCTCTAGTAACTGAGTAGAAGGAATAGTAGCTTCCAATGTGACATTTGAATTTTGTTTTCTCTGCCAAAGAGAAAAACAATGTAGGAAGTTTCTGAGCACTCTGAACTTTTCAAACCATCTGGGATTCTCCAGGTTTAACACTAGTGCGTATTGTCACCTTGTCCTTGAGTCCATCAAGTCTACTGTGATTCCCTTGCAGAAAACAGTATTATGATAAGTTAAAAATATACACGTCTACAGACCCAAAGGAAAACATGAATAGATGTGTCAAACAACACTCTAGATGTGAAGGTGGTCAAGCTGGAGAATTACTGAAGAAAGAATAAACTAGGACCCCGTGGAGGCAGGACAATGTTTTTAGTCTTATTCCAGTAGATCCAGATAGGAAACTCATACTTGATTTCCTTGTCTTGGATTAAAATATGTGAAGACTTCTGTTGGAAGAGGCCACTTATTGGTTCCCGGCTGCCCAGCTAGTTTAGACCCAAAATAATCACACAGAAACTGTATTAATTAAATCACTGCTTGGCCCATTAGTTCTGGCTTCTTATTGGCTAACTCATATTAATTTAACCCATTTCTGTTAATCTATATATCGCCATGTGGCTGTGGCTTACTGGATGAAATTCCCAGAATCCATCTCCGGAGGCTCCATGGCTTCTCTCTGACTCTGCCCTTCTTCCTCCCAGCATTCAGCTAGATTTCCCTGCCTAGTTCTGTTCTGCCCTGCCATAGGCTCAAAGCAGTTCTTTATTAATCCACAGTAATTATAGCATACAGAGGGAAACCCCACATCAGACTTCAATGTTTTTCTTTGTGACTTTTGAGTAAGCGCTCTTCTCCAACCTTGCATCACTCCTTGGCACCTGCAGGCAGGAGTCAGTCCACACCCAGGGAGCAAGGTCTCTATTTGGAATCTATGAGTTTCAAAGCCATGAGGTCCATAGCTCAACTTTACTGAAAGTGCAAACCCGTGTGTCTGTACTGTGCCCATGTGATGCTGCTCACCAAGGAGCCTGCAGATGAAGAGAGGCTTGGTCTGTTTGCCTTGCGAAACACTGTTTCGCAAGTGGCAGTATACTGACAGAGGAGTGACGACTTACAGATTTACAATTATGCCATTTACAGCCACTTAGGAATAATTCCAGCAACCTGTGAATTGTGTTTACATTTTTGTTTTATTCAGTTTAACTCTTCCTAGCCAAACTTGTCAATCTAGTTGACTTTGATTTCAGGCCAGGTTGTCTATATTTCAGTCACGAAATTCTTCTCATATTCTCAAAATTTTGTGTAAATATGGGTTCAGGGATTTACTTTTGTCTGATGGATTTGAAATTGCTCTATGTAGAATAAAAGCACATATTTGTATGGGATTCCTATCTTCTATGGATCTTTAAATTCTCTCTTAAATAATACTTTATTTTATAAAGGGAAATAAAATGTTCAAACTAACCCATGGCTAACTGGTAAAACTCACATACCTGTTTCATTACAACTAAAAAGAAAATGAAGATTTGTTCATCCCTCTTCCAACCAAATTTACTTGGAGAGGTGAAAGTAATTTGATTTCTATCAGCACTGTTTGATTTTTATCTATTTTTGAACCTCTTAGAAATGAAGTTATATCTATTTTTATTAGCAGAACTAAGTGTATCACATGAGGGAGAGATTTAGCCAGACTTGTCTAGGAGGAGCTAAGGCTTGATTGCTGGATAAAAGCTGAATACAAACAAAAATGTAAAAACAACTCAAAGATTGCTGAAATTGTTCATAAATGGCTGTAAATGGCATAATTTGTAAATCTGTACATCATTACTCCTTACTTTTCCTCAAAATTAACATTTGTTACCTATATTCATTTTGTGTTCATATGTAGTTTATTTGGTCTGATTCTGCATAATACTCCAGTTTGTATTACATCGTGATGTGTTTACCTTTTTATGGAAACATATCCAGCATATCCCGGTTCTCATCCATTTGTGGCACTGCAGCTTCTGAGAACGCTAATGTTCCATATTCTTTATAAATGTACATCTATTTCACTTGAGTACAGATGTCAGAATAGGATTATTGACTCATAAGTCATATGCATATTTAAACTGATTAAAAACATTTGAAAAATTTTCAAAGTTGTTTTCTGAATTATAATTCTAAAATCTTGGCAGTCTCTTGTTCCACGTTCTCATCAGTATTTAGTGTTCTGAGTCCTGTTAGCTACTTGATAGATTAGTGATGATCTATCTCTCCCTCAACATGAGGCTCTGACCTTTGTTAGCTACCCATTAGATTGGTGATGCTCCCTCCCTCGCATGGACTCTTAGTCCTGTTGATTATCCATTAGATTATGATGGTCCCTCCCTCAACATGGTGCTCTGAGTTCTCTTATTTACCCATTACGTTAGTGTCCATCTCTCATTCACATTTCTCTGATGAATGGTGCTATTTATTCCATTTTGTGTTTAATTATGTACAGGTGTGTGTTTACATGAAGGTATGTGCACAAGATTTCAGGTGCCTCTGGAGTCGACAAGATAGTTTCAAATTTCCTGCAGACAGAGTTATAGGTTGCTGTAAACCATCCAATATAGGTTCTGAGAACCAAACTGGGGTCCCGTCGAAGCTGGTACATATTCTAAATTCCTGAGCCATCTCTTCAGCCCAAAATATTTTCCTTTTTAGTGTGCTGGCTGTGTGTGTGTGTGTGTGTGTGTGTGTGTGTGTGTGTGTGTGTATGTTGGGTATGTGGAACCCTCAAGTCAACCATGGATGACATTCCTCAGTAAGGTATCCACCTTGTTTTATGAGCCCTTCACTAGCCTGGAATGTGTGATAAGGCTAGGCTGGGAGCGGTAATGATCTTCTTGTCTCTCCTCCCTACAATGTGGGGGTTACAGGCATGTGTGGTTTTACATGGATACTGGGGATTTGACCACTCTTCTGTTCATAACTCTTCTTTCTTTTTCCTTAGGGCCCAGCTTGGGGCACATCTCTGAGGGAGAGTGTCCACTTAAGAGGACACTCATATGCAGTGTCACAGTTTCCATTTGTAAGAAGCAAACATGGTTTCCCCCAGACCTCCCTACTGGGAGAAGATTAGGAAGCATAGCATATTAATGAATCCCTTTGGAGTCTGTGGCCCCCAGCCATAGTGTTTATTTTCACATTGCAGAATTCTTAGCATTTCTACTGGCTCATTTAGCAATGCTAATTGCGAACAGATAGAACGTTGTTTACTGCTAATTGCAGAACAGTAGAAACCTTGTTACTTCTAATTTCAGAATGTTAGAGCACTTTTCATTTTTTTCAAAGGGGAAAAATACATTCTCCATTGATAATTTTGCCCTTTTAACTAGGTCTTTTAGTCAAGGTGCTGGCATAACTGAGAATGAAGAATGAAGAAGTCGTTTACATATGCAGGACAGGGTTAAGTGAAAATGTGAGGGCAAGGAAAAGCATCAGGACTACATGGGTGGCTCAAAGGGCAGTGGGTTTCAGTCCTCTGAGTATGGCATGTTGGGAGAAGGCTGTCTATCATGTATTGTACCATCTAAAAGAGAAAAAACAGCCATTAGGTTGTATTCTAAAAAGGAGCAAAGGACAGATCTTACAAACTAGGACCGTTGGTTGTCGTAGCACCCGATATTCCCTTCAGGTAACTGTTGGCCTCTGATGGCATAGTTCAAAAAGGATAAACTGAACCCATACAGAATGCTATACCTGCAGACTTCAGGGTGTAAACCCTGTTCAGCCAGTTCTGAGCGGTAAGCGGATAAAGTTTTAGACTGATGTGGGGGAAAATATTACTCCTAATAATTATTACCAATTCAGGTTTCCTTTAGCTTTGATCAGAGCAGCATGACTTGCCACTTAAGGCAAAGGTGAAGGATGCTGCTCCAGAAAGGTAAATATACAAAAGACAAAAATAGAGACAAACAAAAATAAGAACAACATGGTTTGAATCCCAAATCATAAAGATAATATGTGGATGTCCAGGTAGAGCTGGGCGAGTAGACTTTCAACCACAACTTGTTTGTCCTCAGCCGGTGTGCAAACTCCAGCAAAGGACTCAGTGCAGAGGATGTGAAGAGAGAGATGCGGACTTGCAAATTCTGAATGCAGGATGACAGGAAGCCTAACAATGGTATTATGGTGACATCACCTGGTAATCAGCGAATAAAGGAAAGGGATGCTGGCCAAGAACTCAACTCTTACCCCCAAGCACCAATCCTGTGCACAGAGTAGCTACCAGTTACAGACTGGCCATAAATTCTGACTCCATTCCTGTGTGATGTCTGATCTAGGAATAGGTTGGTCACATATGCAAAAAGGGAAATTGCTAAACTTGCTGATGAGATCTCAAGTCAGTCACTTTGTCCTAAGAATGTACCTTAAGAATTTCTCCTGTGTTCATTATCCATCTGCTTTCCCCACAAGCCCAGAAGAATGTGAAGCTGTCCAACTCTAAGACAGTTCATCAAAACAAGAAGATAGCATGTGTTGCTGAGATGTTCCCCAATTTCAGGATATTCCTATGTGTCTTGATATTAATAAGCCCCAAGTCAGATCCTCCCATTCTCCTTTGAGTTTTATAGAAATGTGTGAAGAGGAAAAGGAGACTTCCCTGAGTGACTTGCAGCTCAACTGTTTTCTGACTATAGCTCTGAACTGAATATGACCACTTTGGTACTCAAGGCTTCAGCCCTTTATCTCTCTGCCAGCATTTGACACATCCTGAAAACACACCTATGTTCTGTGTACAAACCTGCTTTTGGGCTTACAGAGATAACATAGTGGTTTGAATCTTTCAAGGGATGCTATCAATTGCTTCAAAGACAATTCAGTGTCCTGCTAAGCTTAGAGCAGTTCGAAACAACCAATCAGGTTATTTGGGAACACCAAGAAGTCCAAGTTCTTGTGTGTGTACACCAAAGATATTCACCA